CTAAATTTAAAAGGTGAAAGTTTAAGACATACTTTTAGTCCCATGATTTGAAATAGTGACTCGGGAGAATTTGGGGTTGTGGATTGTAACTCCACATTGGCAACTTAATGCAGTTGTAGAAATTGGGGTTCGAAAAAGAATGAGAAGAACTAGATAAATTTATGGAGGATTGGTCTATCAATGGCTCTTAGCTAGGGTGGACTGGAATGGTGTCCCTAATTTCTGTTTGTCAGAAGCTAGGAATGGGTGACGGGATGGATCATTTGATTACCTGTTCTGTTCATTCCCTCTGGGGCATCTGGTATTGGCCACTGTTGGAAGACAGGATACTAGGCTAAATGGACCTTTGGTCTGACCTAGTATGGCTGTTCTTATGTAAATGTAGGGCTGGAAGGGGGCTAGAAGTCAAGTCCAGTCCCTTGCACAGAGGCAGGGCCAAGTAAATCAGGCCCACCCCCACAGGTGTCAGTGAAACAGATTCTTAAACTCCAGGGACAGATTCCACAGCCTCCTTTAGAAGCCTGATTCTAAGTTTCACTTCTGTTTAGCTTTTCCTAATATCTAATCTAAGTCATCTTTGTTACAGATTAAGCCTATTACTTGTCTGTCTTCAGTGATCTGGAATACAATTGATCGCCTTCCTTTTTATACAACAGTCTTCAAATATGTTAGGGGTTATTAGCCCCTCCCCCCCAGTATTCTTTTCTCCTGACTAAATTTGCCTAGTTTTTCTAATGTTTCCTCATCGGTCAGTTTTATTGCTCTGTTCTGGATTCTTTCCCAGTTAGTCCACATTCTTTCCCAGTTAGTCCCAGCACTCCAGCTGGGGTCTCATCGCTGCCGTGCAGTGTGATTATAACCAGTTGCATTTCTTTTTAAACCCGTGAAGAAAATTGTGACTTCTTTTAGAAATATTGGATTGTGGTTGGCATCTACTTCAGCACAAATAGAATCTATATGACTGGCTCTAATTTTTCCCTAGCAAAACTTCAGTGAGTTTATAGTGCTGCTGCTACATTTATCCTGAAGTTCCCTTGTTATTCACACCAACATCACTTACAAAAATGTAGTAGTAGTTGAAAACAGAAGATGGTTGACTTTTTGAAAGTCTGTATTTGAGTGCTCAAGCTGTTCAGAGTCCCTAAATTAAACCTTTGCAGATTCCACTTCATCAATATGGTCTAATGGCACAACACTTCCTTGTTTGATAGGCTGCATTTTCCAAAGCTTCACTTTAAACTGCATCTTTGGACTCTTTTGCTTTAGTTCATAGCATTTTTACAGTAAATCCAGTAGATGCAGTTTCATGTCAAGAAGGAGTAGCAAAAGGCAGGACACAGATGTTCTAAGTGCAGTGTTGTCAGCCAAAAGTATCGCTGGGCTAGCCTTTGTATACACCGGAGCAAGAGCTGTTTGAGTCTAATTGCAGTTGTGTGTGATTGCTGGGCTAAGCAGTTGCTCTGTCCTCTTGATTTCAGTTGCAGTATGTTTCCAAAAATCTGTCTTTAGATGACTGTGAAGTACTGTTAGAATTCTTTGTTTGTGCCTCTTGTAATGACCAAACATGTAATATATATTTATAGTCCTATGGAGGCGAAGGTATTTTATGTAGACAAACACACTTCTTATTAAGAGATTAAATTGTCTTTTTGTGCATTGGAGAATTTTTCTTTCTGTACATTGATACAAATAGAGTTTTCAGTGTGTGAAATATGGGCACAAATGTTTGAGAATACAGTTAGCACAAGTTGTGTTTTATGTTCTCTTTTTACTGTAATGTGACTGTTTTGGTAACTTATAGCTTTTCCAGGATAACTTTGGAAATGTGTTTGTACAGTTAGGGTTATTTTGATAGGGGATACATACAAATAGACAATATAGGAAAGTTACCCATGTGGTGTGCTGTTGACTTAAGGCCACTTGAAACATTTCGTAGGTGGGTTGGTAGGTGATCTCTGTAACAAGTGGTCATTATATGAAATCTTAATCTGTTTTGAATAACACGCAGAAATCAAAGAACATGTTTAATTTTAGGTTTCATTTTAAGCATTCATAATCTCAGAAGTTACACCAGTGTTTGACTCTCTAATGTAGCTTTTGATTAGTGTTGTGGAGGGTAGCTTACGGTCTTCATAACAAATGAGCAAGTCTCGTAATTTGCAATTCAGGGTCTGATTCACTGAGGAGAAGTGAAATTAATTGAAGTGTTTTATAGCAGATGAAACTCTCCACTTACTGACAGAGAAACTTTCACAATGCAGGGTGATATATTAACAAATGTTACCTGTTTCTCTCCCCTCTCCCTCCCCCAAAAGAGAAAGCTACCAATATAAATAGAAGAGGTCACCTTAAACTTTGTAGTTCTTGGTGTCATGGGACTAATGCATCCCTTCCACATAGGCAGGTGTAAATCGGTGCAAGGACCAACATTATTTAACCACTTTGATCACTTAACTAAAGACAGGATACTGAGCTAGATGGTGGACCTTCGGTCTGACCCAGTGTGGCTGTTATGAGTCTATGGTCCATGGCCAACCAGATTGATCATGGGTGAAAGAGCGAGGGTCTGGCCCATGCTCCAATCATGGGAGGGCATCCTCAAAGTTTCATGGCAAAACAGTGCCTGGTTCTGGGGAAGTTGACGGGGATTGGGTTAAAGGGGAAGGGGGTGCCTGGCTCTGGGGAAGGAGAGGAGAGAAGGATTGGATTAGAGCAGGGGCAGGGGGGAGGTGTGCCTGGCTCTGGGGAAGGGGAGGAATGGGGTTAGAGCAGGAGGGTGCCTGGGGGCCACTTGCCCCAGCATCTGGCCACCTGTGCCAGCATCCTGCCACCCACCCCAGCACCCAGCAGCACCCTTTCCGAGCCCCAACACCCACTAGTACCCTGTCCCCTGCCCTCACCAGCACAGTTGGGGCCACATTAGTGAGGTTTGGGGAGTTTTGGTGGGATTGGTTTTTTTCATCTCACTTGTGTGGCCCCAACTGACATTTCTGTTGGTTAGTGACTCAAAACAGGTTCCCTGTCCCTCTCATAAATAAAGACAATGCTGAAACATGTTGTGTTTGACATAATATTTTATTTAAAAATGAAGCCTGGCCAACAAGCCCCTATCTGGCCGCAGCATCATAACACTCCTGAACCCCCCCACACCCAAAACCTGAGCCTATCATAAACTGGAACCGCCTGTCCTGAGCCTCTCATATCCCCAAACTCCTTCACCACCACATCCCCCCGTCTTCTGCCACAGCACTCCTGCACCATTCACACACTGCAAATCTGTGTCCTGATTTGTTCAACATCTTTATTACTGACCTGGATGAGGGGATGGATTGCACCCTCAGCAAGTTTGCAGATAACACTAAGCTGGGGGAGAGGTAGATATGCTGGAGGGTAGGGATAGAGTCCAGTGTGACTTTAGACAAATTGGAGGATTGGGCCACAAGAAATCTGATGAGGTTCAACAAGGAAGCATCCCAAGCATTGTTACAGGCTGGGGACCAACTGGCTAAGTAGCAGTTCTGTAGAAAAGGACCTGGGAATTACAGTGGATGAGAAGCTGGATATGAGTCAACAGTGTGCCCTTGTAGCCAAGAAGGCTAATGTCATATTAAGTTGCATTAAGAGGAGCATTGCCAATCAATCCAGAGAAGTGATTATTCCTCTTTACTCAGCTCTGGTGAGGCCACATCTGTATTGTGTCCAGTTCTGGGCTCCCAATTACAGGAAGGATGTGAATGCGTTGGAGAGGGTCCAGCAGAGGCAACCAAAATGATTAGGGGGCTGGATCATATGACCTACGAGGAGAGGCTGAGGGAGTTGCGTCTGCTTAGTCTGCAGAAGAGAAGTGAGCTTGTATTTGATAGCGGCCTTCAACTTCCTGAAGGGAGGTTCCAAAGAGGCTGGAGAAAGGCTGTTCTCAGTGATGACGGATGGCAGAACAAGGAGCAATGGTCTCAAGTTGCGGTGGGAGAGGTCCAGGTTGGATATTAGGAAAAACTATTTCACTAGGAGGGTGGTGAAGCCCTGGGATGGGTTACCTAGGAAAGTAGTGGAGTCTCCATCCCTAGAGGTGCTTAAGTCTCAGCTTGACAAAGCCCTGGATGGGTTGATTTAGTTGGGATTGATCCTGTCTAGAGCAGGGGGCTGGACTTGATGGTCTTCTAAGGTCTCTTCCAGCTCTATGATTCTATGAGCCCATCATACCCCCAGCCTCTGCCCTGAGCCCCTCATTCACCCCAACCCAAACTCCTGCACCATCACAGCCACAAGCCTGAGGCTTGCTCAGCACCCCAGCCCTACACCTGAGCCTGAAATTCCCCAACCTGGAGCCCCTTCCCTGAGCCAGCATCCCCTTCTCTACTTCGTCCTGCACCCAAATTCCCTTCCAGAGCTTGCACCTCTCACCTCTTCCCAGTGGTTTTTTTATGATGGTATGCCCTGTGCCTAAGGGGGCCCAGGCTAGTAGATTTTGTGTGCTCCAGTCCCATGGTGGGACAGTGGCAGGCTGGAGCACCAGTGCATGCTCCCCAATGCTGGGGTGGGGGGAGCTCCAAGCCGAGGGTGCCAGAATCATGCAAGCAGAGGGCCGCATCCAGCTCTCTAGTCATAGGTTCCCCCACCCTGCAGTAGACAGACACCTGTGTCGGGGTGGGGGGTGGAGGAGGCAGCAGGGAAAGTAGGCAGGAATGGGGAGGGGGGTGGCAGCAGCAGGGGAGGGCAGGCAGCACAGTGGAACTTAGAAATTCTACTTGTCGATTAGTATAAGATAATGCAATTATTCTGACTTCAGAAACCAAAGCTTCCAAGGAAGAAACTCCCTTTTGCAACATTGGCCCTGATTCTGCAGGGACATAAGCACATACTAACTTGATGCACTGTGAGAAGTACTTGAAGTACCCCCGTTTTTGCAGAAGCAAGTTCATGAAGTATAATTGGTCAGATGGCTCTGTTTTAAAATAAATTTTCAGCTGTGTACTGTAATAATCATGGCAATCTTTCAGACTAACAGGGATGCCAAAGGAAAAATATGATCCTCCAGATCCTCGCAGAATTTACACCATCATGTCAGCAGAGGAGGTAGCCAATGGGAAGAAATCTCACTGGGCAGAATTAGAAATCTCTGGTGAGTTTTTAAATCTTGTCATGGCTAAATTGCTCTTTAGGAGTATTGCTCTGATCGTAAATTAATACTGATTTGAAAGCTTCTCTTATAAAAGTGCTTTGTTTCAGGGAAAGGAGAGAACCATAATTAAGGAAAAATACCTGACTTCTAGGATCACTCAAAATACTGTTTGTTTTGAGTTTGAATAGATTTGATTAAAAACTAACATGCAAAAAGCAGGTTTGCATCTGATTTTTTTTCTTTCCATTTCTCTTTCCTACTCAAAACTAGTATTGGACGGTCATTTAAAACCTATTAGTGATGAAACATTACAGATAAATCTGGCTGAGTGAGTTCAGTTCTTCCTCCTGGGATATATTTCAGCACTTAGGTAGGCTAAAAAACATCAAAATTCCACTTAATTACCAGGAGTGTGATTTCCGCACCTGATTTTTCAGCACATTAAAGTTGTACCTCTCCATTCCCTATGATTTGTGCCTCCTGTTTTAATTTAAGAATAAAAAGCTATTTGGAGACTTAATTCTTTACATTTTCTCTTTTAGGTAGAGTGCGGTGCTTAAGTATGTCACTTTGGTCCCTGACTCACTTGACTGCTCTACACCTCAATGACAATAATCTTGCTCGCATTCCACCTGATATTGCCAAGCTCCATAATCTGGTTTACCTGGATCTATCATCCAACAAACTCCGAAGTTTACCAGCAGAACTAGGAAACATGGTATCTCTCAGGTGAGAAGGGTAGACTGCTTAACTTCCCAAGAGTCTGTCACTGATGGATATGGGAACAAGTGAACAAACTTTGTCCTTGAAATTTGTGCATAGACTTTTCTTTAAAATTCTTAGATGTACGTTAATATAGACCTGCAAGGCAAATTAGTTTTATTATTAACGGATTCTCTTTAGCATTAAACCTCTAGCTCTCTGATTATTTTATTGGGCTTTTTGAAATATCCCCATATGGCTGTCTGTTTTCTGTGGGCAATTAACTAATTACATTGAGCTACTGTCCATTGCCACAAATGCTCAATGCTGGCTTTCAGCCAGCTTACAAATGAAAAACCCTGTCAAATAGCCATTGAACTCACAATTAGCATCTCTGCTTCCAAGTAAAATGCTTACTCAATTTAAAAAAATTTTTTTTTTGTATCCCACTTATGTGACCCTTAGAGGTCAATACAAAAATTGTTGTAGCTTCATGCTTCCTCAACACGACACCTTGTATGTGTACAGTGTTTCCTTTTTGTCCTGATGTATTATGGTTTTGTCCAGTTCTTTATCTTCAAACTTAAACGTGAAAGTTTATAATCTTATTTACAGAATGTATAACAATTTAAAAACTGAAGTAGCCATCCTTCAAGAATATCACCGCATACAGTATCATGAAAACGACCCTTTTAAAATGATGCTAATAAACTACTTTTTCATCTATTGTAGGGAATTGCTTTTAAATAACAATATGCTACGGGTTTTGCCTTATGAACTTGGACGGCTCTTCCAGCTACAAACCCTAGGTTTGAAAGGTGAGTGCACTTCTAACAATTCTCCAGATTGATATTTTTGGGCTCTGTAGTGTTCTGTGATTTTAAAACTCCTTTTCAAAGCAAGCCATAGTCTATATTTGTAGTATGCATGGCTGTGTCTGCTGCATTTGTTCAAGATATCTTGTTTCCCCCACTCCTAGAATATTATTACAATAATATTGCATTTTTATTTTATGAAAATTGTGCTCCTGAACATGTTCCGCTAGAAAAATATTGCAGGTTTTCCATATGAAAATAGCTCTTCAGTCTTAATATGTAGGTATACTTCATTATATGGGAGGTTGAGATGGCAAGAAAGAAACTTTAGAAGGATTACGAATGTCTTCAGAAGGAGAGAGTAGGATGAAATTTCAGGGTAGCAGAGGTTTTTTTAAAGGAGCAAAAGATGGCTGACTAGTTTTTAAGTAAAATCAATATATTTCACTGAAAAAAAGTATTACATTAGGGTTTATATTTTGAGATGAATTGCCTTTAAGGAATAAACTTCCCAAAATTTGCAGAATTTGGCAGAATGTCCTGCAGATTTCCGGTAACCCTATTCATAACTTTTTTTGGTGGTTTTTATGTGTTAAACCAAGTTTTAGACCAAGTTTAAAAAAACCCAACAACACATAGTTTGTCATCTGGAATATTAAGCAATATATCTTTAGCTATATTGGAGATGAACAAAGATGAATTAGGACAGTAGCTAAAGATTGATTGAAAGTTGGAACTCTGTAAGTAAAATACTCTACACGAGGCAGAAGAGAATTCTCTGGGTTTGAGAGAAAATCTGTTTTGACCTTCAGTTTGGCATAACTGTTAAACTGTGCATGTGCTCTGTGCAAAATTTCAGAATCCTCTAGTTGGGGTGCTTTTGGTAAGAGATGTGTTCTGCATGCATGCACAGTTCATCGTGAAGCTGCCTCTCCTGAAATCCCTCTATTTTACCCAGAAATTGTTGAAAAGTATCATTGCTGGCTGTTGTGTTAAAGTTTAAGTTATCCAAGCTTTTGGGCTTTGTATTATGGAATGCATGCATCCTCAACCATTTGCCTCAGTGAGAGTAAACACTTGCCCCAGAGCAGTGCCACATACCTATGCATGTTTTCACAGTGCCCTTTCAGAGCATACGTGTCCTAGTGGCCCTGCATATCTTTCTACAAGAAGCTTATCAGTGGCCTTGAATTGTCCATTTTATCCTTCCTCCACTACTTAAAACATAGTTTATTTTTTTAATGCGGTACTTAAGTGCATAATTTCCAAATATAAAAATGAATGTGTTTAGTGAGGTTGAAACAAAAAATTACTTGGGTTACTGCTCAGTTGAAATGATATGAAAGATACTATCATCTGTGCTAGCTATTTCCCAGGCCATCCATTGTTATATTCTGGAATTAGATAAATTGGAAATGGAAAAGACCAAATGGATCATCTTGTCTGTCTCCTCCTGGGCGTGCTATTCTCTTTCAGGAAAGTCAAGTTTCAATGCACATTTTGATTCAGGGAGCTCATTATTGCATTTTTGTTCTGAATCTTTCAGGCAATCCTTTATCACAGGATATTCTCAGCCTGTACCAGGACCCAGATGGAACACGAAAGCTGCTGAACTACATGCTTGACAATCTAGCAGGTAACACAACCAGAATTTTCATTTGACATAACTAACTGCCAAACACTGTCACTCGTATTGGATAGCATTCAATTGAGGGTCTGAGTTTCTGAATCACTTCCAACTGCTTTTATGATCCTATCAAGTCCTGGGACTCCCACACAAAAATAACAAAATCGATGAAGTAGTATTGTAACAGATATGACTTGTGGTAGGGCATGAAGAAATCTAGCTTCCTAAATTAATGGCTTAGATTTAATATATGGAATATGGCGTCCTTCGCCACTAGATCACTGCTTTGAGCCCAGAATAGCGTTGTAAAAATTAAAAAAAAAACAAGAAACCTACTAAATATCTGATTGAAATTCAGTCTGTTGCATGGTTCAATGCTCCCTGTGGCTGCTGGCTTCATGAGCCCCCAGCATTGGCCGAGAGATTAACCGGCAAGGTAACCTATAAGCAGATGCTTATTAGTTAACTGGTTAAACTCTTACATCCCTAGTCCAGAACTGATAAGTAGTGACAAAAGGTTTCTGTTTAAGGGAGCATGTGCATCCAGGAGAAGTGGTTGGGTAGGATCAGTGTATTTTAAATCAGTTAAAAATTGGCATCATGGCTGGCAATCTCATTAGGGCCAAAGTTTAATTTGACAGGGAACCAAACTATCCTTTCATCAGCAGAGGCTGAGATACATTGGCTGGGTGACATGGGAGAGTTTGTACGGCCTCTATCCTCACTTTATATCTTATTAGAAACTGAAGCCCTCAGTTTGTTATTGCTCCTACTTTGGTACTTTTCACTTGTATTAATTCCAAATTGCAAGCAGCATGATTTCAACTGTTCCTAAAACTTCAGTCCAGAAATAGATTTCTCTCACTATTTTAAAATCCTGCCCTTATGCATTTATAATTTAACCACTCTATTTCACTGTTGAATGTTTTAGTTTTGTGTCCTGTTTCCCCTTCATCCCTCCTTCAAATGTATTGATACAAACTGAAATTGAGTTTGGTTGTAGGGTATTTATTTGGGGTGGGATTCTTTTTTAAAGCATTTGATGAATTTGAGAGATTTACTTTGCAATCCTGTCTACAACTTACTATCTTTTTTTGGGGGGAAAACTAAATAAAAACCTTTAGTAAGATTTATGGGGTACTTTTGGTAGGGCACTCTTAAACATTAATGATTTCCCATAACTTTTATTTCGTGCAGTTTGTCTTCATTTACACTGCAGCACTATTTTGGGATACTGCTATTTCGTGTCTTTTGAGCGTGCCCATTATTCCAAAATATGACTGGCTCGCTATTCTGACGTCCCTGTAAACCTCATTCCACGAGAAGTGAGGGATGTTTCAGAATAGCGATTCATTTTGAAATAAGAGTGGTGTATACGTCGCCAAATTTCAAAATAAGCTATTTCAAAATTAACTTGAAATATGCTACACAATTTGCATAGCTCCAATTGAATGCACCCTTTGTTAGAAATTAGGGATGTGGAATGGTTAACCGGTAAGCATCACCTGGTTAATCTGCATGCCATACCGTGGGTGAGGGGCTGTTCCGGCCAACCATTTATGACACCCATTTATGCGGTTACCTGGTTAAAACAGTTAACTTATTAAACAGGATTTTACATCCCTATTAGAAATTAGTTTATATGAAAATTTAATGAGAAGTCTTTCTATCACACCTGGACTTGACTACTATGTTGTAAAATTACTGCACACAATTTCCTCAACATCATTTTTAAAAAGGGCTTTTTTCCTTGGACAGAGTCCTTTGGAGTTTTATTGCCACCCAGGCATTACGAGGTCCCAGGGAGAGGAATTTCACTAACAATACTAGATGAGAAAATTGGGTCAAATGGCAACATTGCAGTGGTACAGAAGTGTTTCAGGGAATGTCTTAGGAAGTATGGAGAGCAAAAGAGGATGCCCATGTGCTGAAAATCAGAGAGAAGCACTATTTTGGGATACCTGAATATTTTGGGATTTCTGAATTTGCTATTTTATTACATTTACAATTTTTAGGCCTTTGTATGATGATTCAGAATCCTCTTTCCTCCCTTGAGCATAAAGGCTTTGGAATTTCGTATCTCCCCTCTGGGTTTTTAAAGCATAGTATTGGGCAATGCTGCTGAGCTCTCAACTTGATTAAGTTAAGATAGTGACTTACATTGATATTTATAAACCCTAAATTAAATTAGTCACTCTTTTGTAATTTCAGTTCATCCAGAGCAGCTGCCTCCAAGGCCGTGGATTACTTTAAAAGAACGAGACCAAATTCTGCCCTCAGGTACTTTTGTGGCCTTTCTCCCTTCTTTCCATCAATGCTTCAAATATTTATAGCAAACAGAAAGTAGTAAGCATAAGTCTTATGCCTTTAAAATATGGATCAGTCTAAAAATAACAGGATATTTTTAACTTTCTACAATTCATTCTCTTGCAAAGTTTTATTTAGATTATTGCTACCTGACTGCAACAATCTCAAAATCATAAAGAGAATTTATTTTAAAAAATAGCCCTTAACATATATATTGCTGTTTTGGGGTTCTTTCCTGTGCCCATAATAATCCCTTCTAGTTGTTTTTTGACACTGCTTCAGAAAAATACCACCATCTAGCCTGTTCCTTTTGATTTGATGCAAAAGCAGTTACCTTCATAAGGTTAGAGTTCAGTGTCTTCTAAGTGCGCCGGCCAGTGATGGCCCTGAGAAAGCAGATACCCAGTTCAGTTGGATTTAAATTTAAACCATATAAATGTTTATCGCTGTTTCACAGAAATAGTGTAAATCATAAAATAACTGCACACAAATACCACAGGCAGCACCTCTAAACTGCTCCTCAGTTCCAGAAGCCCCTGAACAATGTTCTCTTCAATCTTTTCTATCCATGTGCAGAACCAATTTTTTTGTGTGCAAACGGAGGCATTTGTGAAACACAGAACCTAGCTGTGGGCACTCTGCTAATCAACTGGGTGGCATTTGAATTTCTCCTGGGCACTGCCCTTGCATCTCTGTGTGTTTTCCTTTTCTTCTCTCTGCTCCTTTGGGTTCTTCCTCTG